AGCGATGTGTAACATAACATTGGACACCCCAATGCAAGTGATGCTTCACAAGGCATCATTACGGCAACGTGTGAAGGTCAATTTCACATTATGGCATGGCACTTATTTGTCAATTGTGCTGGTGCAAGAGCTCCACCTGCCATGGTCATTCTGTCAGCTGTACTCCATTGACTCATGGGGCATTCAATTCAATTCGTTAATTGATTATGACTGGTGATAGAATTTGACATTGCCAGAAATTGTTGAGGGCCAGAATGGTGTCTCCATGTGGTTGATAAACAGCAGAAGGTGCTGCAGGGTGAGTTTATAAGTTATTACTTTCCTGATGAACACGATGTATCTTGTGTGGGAAGTGAGTTGCAAGTCAACTGCAACTGATGTCTTTGCAAGGTTGCAACGAATGCAACAACTGGTACAAAGTCCATCCCCTGATGCATCAGGATGTGGGCATGATTACTGAATCGTCAAAGAATGTGGCAACAGAAAACACTAGACAGCCACAATGCTTTTTGCTCAGTGAGGCTGGCTGGCAAAGAGCAGCTGACAAACGCTAGGGAATCAATGCACCCACCCGACTGGTTATCAGAACCTTGCTGAAATCCAAAACGTTGCTGTTGCAGAGAGCAATCAAATCCATAAATTGCACTAGTGCCGGGAGCAGAGTTGTGTACCAAAGTACGGCTGTTTGGTGACAGAAAAGAATGTCGTGTCGCTGCACTTCACCGCAAAGGGCAGCTTGAGCTTAGGAAGTCATATTTGTGGCAAATGCAAATTACGTTTCCCTTTGCACACGTCCATTCTCGGCCATCAAGCCAGACGCAGCCTGCAGAAAGCTTTCCTATCATGAAGACAAAAGGCGGAAGCATTGACTACGATGAGAAAATCGCAAGGATGCAACGGAGCGGACATTGCCGGAAAACTCACAGCCAAGATATCATCCTGGGTCCACAATAACCAGAACAGACTCTGTTCGTCTCCCAGCTTGATATTTTGCGAAAAAAGCCCAAATTCAATGCCTGCTGTTTAGTCAATTTATGGCCAGCAAACACACTGTTTACTGCAATCACATTTTGCTTTCGTCGCTGCCTGCTGCGCCTGACAATTGCCAACGCGATCTAAAACGGTGACTTTGACGTTTGACTCGTCGGCCACGGGGCCCAAGAGACCGCTAGGCCCCCATGCAGCACTGCATTCGTTCCGCTAAGACCGCAGTCCCCTCAGTACTTGCCGCACCCTGAACCTCAGCAGCCAAAGTACTGAACAGACGGCAGCTTCAGCAACAAGACTGCGTTAACACGTTTTCGGTATTTTCCTGGAACGGCGAGATCTGGGGCGATCAAACGTTCCCGACTGTGCGCCGTGATGCAGCGGAGGGGTGCCTCGGACCCACCGCCCCCGCGAAGATGCCACTCGTGGGATGTCTCGCATTTCCCAATCCTGCCAGACGTTCCCGCAACAGCGCTGCATAGGCGACGGGACCGGCCCATCGCAACCCAGCCTTCGTGTCTGAGGCGCGAAGAGGCGCACGCGGCCTGAGGTGTAGTAACGGTGACGCCATCGCAAGGGCCTGCCTATCTGCTGGCGCTCGAAGGCATGTCCGCAACATTTGGAGGGCAAACCGCCCACGAAGGGCACACGGAAACAAAAAGGCCGGAGAAAACACGTGGCTCGCCGCAGATGCGGCCCAGATTTCCGAAGCGTCGGGGCCCCTGCGCAGCGAGGGTGGGCGAAAGCACCCCGTCCGCGTCGGCCATCGCCGATACTAATCCCAGTCCACCCACCCCACCAGCCCTTGCTCTCTTCCGCGCCCCCATCCACCAAGTGCTGCACGCCCATTCCGCGACATGCGTCCCTTGTCCACAGCGAGCGACGCGCGCCCAGGGTGCCCAGACGCCCGCCGTCGGACGATCGGACCAACAGCGAGATCGAGAACGACATTTTGCCGCCGTACCTGACCCGGGCAGCCCCAGGGGAGGCCGCCCACCGGCGGCCGCCCGCGCGCCCGCCCTCCCGATCTTCCCCGCCACCGGCATGGCAAAAAATTTGCTGCCGGGATGGGCGACCCTCCCGCAGGATGCCCGCGCGGGATCCATGCCGCTCGGGCGGCGGGCCCCAATTCCCCACAGACGGGGCGGAGAGGAGAAGACGGAACGGAAAGACGGAAAGGAGACCGAGGGAGAAGGCTTGGAAGTCTGGGCGCAGGGTGGTGGGGTGGTGGGGCGGGGGTTTCGATGGTGCCCGTGGCCCCAAGGGCGTCGCCGGCCGGTTGGGGAGCGGTCGCCGTCGGCCGACTTTCGGGCGACGCGACCTTTTGGGCGCTTTTGGGGGGGTCCACATCGGACCCGGGGGGAAAAGAGTGCCGCAGATCCGGCGCACGGATGTACGGCCGCCGGTCGGGGTGGATCCTGGCGCATGACTGGCGCGGCGAAACGTGATGGTTGCGGTGTGACGAACCACGGGCAGCGTCGGTCACGGGCCGCAGGCAACGGCAAAGGCCACAGGCGGCGGCAAGTTGGTGCTGTGTTTTTCCTCTCTGCTGAAATCGTTGAACTTCTACTCTAATCCGCAAGCTCTTCAGTGGTGCTGCACCCTCAACCACCAAAACGCCAAAAGCAAGAGCTGCCGCAGAGAAGGGCTCGTGGCGTCAATGAGCCCGTCGCGGATCTTGCTATGCTTCTGGAATTTGCTGTGAGGCTCTTCGAAACTCCAACGTGGGCAAGACTGGGACAAGTTGGTGAGCTTCCTCAGGGAGCTGGTACCCTGCAGGGATGGCAGCGGGCATCCTTTTGGGTGATGGCTACCACCTTTGCTCCTGGCAGTTTACCCCTCAGCAGTTTTGGACAGGCTAGTCCAGAAGCTGCGTTTGAATCTGGGCCACGGGGTCAGTACACTCTGGCACATTTTCTGGAGAGCCAAGGCTTGGTTTTAAACGGAGCCTTGGTGAGCGTTTGTAAAGCCAGCATACCGTCGGCACTTTCACAGAGGCCCACGACCGCCACTCTATCTTCATTTGGTCCCTCTCGCTCAGCCCTTGTGGCGCGAGGTCGTGTGTGGATTGAACGAAGCACTTGGATTCAACACTTTGGCTCAACTAGCAAAGCAATGAGCAAACGTCATTGGCGGCCTTGTGGATTGCTTTGCAAGAGGGATGGCGAAGGACGCAGGCGATGGAAAGTGCTCTCGATTTGTCCATCGTGCAAATCGGGCTGACGACGATCTCGCCAAGCAGAGAAGGAGCAAGACGAACCATTTTCTATGAAGATTTTTCATGCAGGTGTATTGTTATCTCGAAAAGACTTTGCCAGGATCCGGTCAAATGAGCGCAAATATATTGCCGTCTTGATCGTCAATATCGAAAGCAAATTATCAAGTTTAGGGGAGCCCGTTCGTAGGCAAAACTCAATGACGGCACCACCACCCGACAACAAACACCCTTTGCGTAATTGTCAAAATCAATCAAGGGAGGCCTCATGGCACATGAACGTAGCTGGCGCCCACCAAGGGGCCCTCCAAGCGCAGAGGCACAAAAAAATGGGTAGCGCAGGCAGGGCATCCCCAGAAAAATCCCAAAGGCGTGAGGAAGCATGTTCGAAGGACACTGCACAACAAGCAACATGCCACTGTGGCATTGCCACATACCCGCATCAACATACAAAGTGGGCTTAGCGCTCCATCGCCGGATTGTCACGTGCAGTCGTCTTGTTGGCAACCTCAAGTATGGAATGCTCAACACATGCATGGGGACGCACCAGGGACTACATAGTCGATGCGGGACAAGGAGCCCAGCTACGAGAAGGAGTGCCAACCATGCAGAGGGTGTTGGTGGCACAAACTCTTGAGATTATAGACGCGCGCCTCATATCTGGAGGTCACTTATGAGGGAAACGTCTCCGCAAGCTATTGGACACCGGTCTGAGTCAGGCAGTCTGATCTGGAATGGTCGACACAGGACCCATGACATGGCAGTGTTCTAGTCCACGAGGTATGCAAGAGATTCCAGTCAATTCAGTGTACGTGCATTTCACAGGACAATTGCTCGCACATCGCCCCCACGTGGTGAGAAATCTGACCCACCTGCTTGTGGTCGTGATGTTACCAGTTGCCCACAGCGAGTGGCGGCAGGAAAGCCGCAACAGAGTCGCCCTGCACCGCTTCCCAAAGACGAACAACTTCATTCAGACACGCCTGCCACACCGACCCTTGGCGTTGAGGTCGTCAGGCAATCGAAATCATGCACGACTGGCGTGGGCATGCCTTGGCTGCCATCCGTCGGTTTACACGGTTCCAACAAGCTGCGATGTTTTATTCGCCTGCCCAAGCGGGGGCTAGCAAATGGACCCCAGGGGCCCTCGCCACCCTCTACTGCGATGCACGCAAGCTCGACTTCCGCGCATTCCACTGAAGAAATTCCCTCCATGTCGCCATCGTCTCTGCCAGCGCCTGTCAGTCAAGGAGCCATGCTCAACTTTGAAAATCTCCTTGAAGCGCCTCATGAAGCAAGTTTGCGCGGGGTCTCACGAACTGCCCTTCGGACAGCACGCTCGCCCACAATAAATCCCACAAGATGAGCCAGACAGCATTCCCAAACAGAAAGAAAAATTGGACTAAGCGTTATTTCCCTCCTACTCTCTGCCACCATTTGCATCATTTACAAGCAGGGCACTCAGAAGCGCCCTGGGCTAGTGTGGCCTCGAAACTCAAACACGGCGCTGCACCCTGCCCCTCCATCGTGGGGCCATTTCAGCCGCGCAACAGCCCGGTCGCCTGACCACACAGGACTGTGACGGTTGCAGGCAGAGCACACCAGCTCACCAAGACATGGCCACACCATTGCGCAGCACACACTGAACTCCTGCAGAGAGCTCAAACCCCCTCCAATCACTCGCACACTAGTAAGGCGGCCGTGCAAACAGCCGAGCTCAACGGAGTCCAGCCGCTTCCAAGCAGGGCGTCCTCCTGGCCACATGAAATTGGCAAATGCAGGCTGGCCCTTGGCCCGCTCACGCCTTTGCGGTGGCCTCTGCAGGCTGCACCCTCTTTCCAGATATCTGTGCCCCCTTTATGGTACAGAATTTCTTGAGCAGCACAACCATGGCTGTCATGTTGTCACATCCCTCCCCCGTCCCTGCCGAGTCTTCTGCCAGGCAGTGATCGCACATCTGCTGCACGATTTCGTCCACCGGCACGCTTCGCTTGAGGCGCTCTTGAACAAAGTCCACAGCCTGAAAGCCAGGAAGGGGAACAGAGCATCACTGCACTGCACATTGCCTTGGCACTATCATTGCCAACCACTAGCGCTGATGGCAGCAGCGACACACACTAGCATAGCAAAGAGAAACACACAAAACTCTCCAAACAAGCAGGTGCTGCTCCAGTGTCTGAAATGTTTCTGGACGTTAAAAAAGATCTCAGAAATCAACAAACACACAGGGAGGTTGTCTTCATCCCCGAGACAGACCTCCTGCAGTGGACACGGCTGGCCCTGGCCCATTTTGTCCACATGGTTAGGGACGTTCCAAAGAATGCATCAGGAAATTCTCGTCTGCCACATAGAATGTCAACACCCAATCCAAAAACACTACAAACGCATGTTTTGGCAGCCAAGGGACAAACCACTGGGGCACCCAGCCAACCTCACAGTGCTGGCAAGGGCCCATCCACATCATTGTGCCATGCATACCTCCTTCATAGTGGCAACAGCACGGAAAATAACTTCCTACTAATCAGTTTGCCAAACTAGCCTGCTCTGTACCATTTACTGTTCAGACCGCTCCACCATCTTCCACAGCAATGGGGAGTGTTTCACAAAATTCCTGTGCTGGAGGGTGCCACCCTGCAGCCATCGACTATGTCCAGCTCACACACCTGCTGCTCTGTGAGCACATCCCAAATGCCGTCGCATGCCAACACGCAGAAGTCGTCACCACGTTTCAAGTCCAGCACCCGCACATCAGGGAATGCGCTGACCATCTGCTCCTCGGGGGGCAGGTGCTTAGCCTTCTTGTACTCCATGTCGCCCAGAGCACGGGACAAATTCAAGCTCCCATTGACGCGCCCATCTGCCACAAAGCCACCTGCCTGTTGATGTGCAAAACCAAACAGAACACTAGTTTCTCTAGAATCCGAAATTTTACAAAACTTGATAGAGTTGAAATTTGGTCAAGGAGATCGTAATTCCAGGCACTGTCCCCATATTTTCACAACACTCCACCCACCCTCGTTTCTCTGCAGCTTACGTCTGCCACTTGACTGAGATTGTCGACAGCACACGTGCCTTTCATGCAGAAATACCGTTCCTGGTGCCAGTGACACTCATGCCCATTCCTGCATCACTTCAAGGTTGGCTTTCTCTTTACCATGATAGGCATTGGGAACACTCTTCAAAACTCAAAAACAGCCACCCCTTTGATCCCAGTCGCCAAGAAACGACCAAGTATTTCCCAAGTGTTTCAAGGCAATGATGCAATAAGCTTCACATTCTTGCGAGCCACATATATAAGCTTCATATTCTTCCAAGCAGACCAACCTGACTACTTAGTCAGGATTCCAATCTTGCACCATCCAATGAATCTATAGTATCGTTATTGTGCTATCCAATGCATAGAGGCAACAAGGTAAGAAGTCAAGTTCGGCTTGTCCAGTCAGGCTAGACGACGATGCTCAAGGTGGCAGCGATGTACAAATCCACATACACTTGCATATACTTTGCTATAGTACACACATCGCCAGACGATTTCTGGCTGCACCACACAAAAAGTCTTGGAGGGCTGCCACTTCACCACTTGCCTTTACCGTACGAAAGTTCAGACACACTTGTGAGTATGTGTTCATGCCAGCAGCGCCCGATGCAGCTGGGCAGTTCTTGCCAAAAAATTGATAGACTCAGCCAGAAATAAATACAGCAGTTACCAGCATCTGGGTGTATTACTACCATCAACAATTACTCAATATATTACTACCAACTACTGTTTCAGCTGACAGAAACCAATCTTGTGTGGACACACAAGTCTGGTACTGCAATCTCAGCATCTGTTCAGGCAATTTTCAAGTCAGTGTTGACAGGCTGTGCTCCTTTGTGAACTAGCAACAGGGATGCAGAAACATCCAACGTTGGCCTGCGGATTCCAGGTGATGTCTAGTCAAAACTTCAAACACTGCAAGCCCATGGTTGAGCCCTCTCCACACCTTTCTTATCCGTTCGTCTTCAATAGGGTCAGTTGGCTTGTGGTCTTGGCTCATTGGAATGGCAACGCCTTTTCGAGATGCAACGCACCTGCAGCAAGTTGCGCCCAAAGAATCAATGCCGATGCAATGCAGATTTCTACATCATAGAGTTCAGTGCATTCGAATCCAGTATGCTTTGCACAATATGCATGTCAGCAGGTCAAATTGCTGCCAAGACAATGCCATGAAGCAGACTATGTTCGTACCCTCAAACATCCCTGCGGACAGTGAGTATCAGATCCTGACTGAGACACTACACCGCATGGTAAGTGTGCAGATGTCGAACTTCCAAGGTCAACCCCAATCTGGGTGGATTGGGTTTGAACCTAACCCAAAAGTAGACCTGCATGGAAAAAAGGTTTGCTACAGCATACAGAAAAAATGCAAAACACATACCCTGACAAACAAATCTGTGCTCCTTTAAAACCCTTAATTCCATCATGACTGAATCGAACCTCCTCGAGCGTAGCCAAGAGAAAACTCGCACTGGACTAGGTCAAACCTGTTTCCCACGTTACAATGCGATTTGCAGCATCACAGATGCCAAAATGATTTTTTCAGTTGACGTGCCATACAAGGAATCTTGGTTGATTGACAATACAGACATGCTCCACTCCAGAACATGCTTTGGTATCATGGAATGCTGGATGATCTTCACTGCAATCGTGCTTGGGGACAGGCTCCCCGGCATGGCAAGAGACGGCAACTCAAAGCAGACTGTCAGCACAGTGTCAACATGGACCACACACAGCTGGAGGCCCCATTCACAGAAATGCTGCTGAGTATTTGTAGATCAGCTAGCCATACACATCGAGAAAACAATTTCCATTATTGATGCTCAAGTCAATCAGATTCACACCCATGGTGGCAGGGCCCACATCTGTGCGTCGGGACAGGTGGAGCATCTGCACTCCTTGAGTGCAACACAAGAATTGGAATATCACCACCTAAATAACAACTCCATAAATTGACAAATACAACATTGAACGCATCACAAAAGATAAATCGACAATAGCATTCATAAACTAATAGGAACAACAGCAACAACGCTGTGTACCTGGAGTCGCCAGCATTGGCCACAATCAGGCGCTTGTTGTCCACCAGAGCCATAACAGCAGTGCAGCCAGCCAGTGGTCCACTGCAGCCCTCGGCCTCTGCAGCCTCCAGCCCTTCAAGCTCGAGTGCGCCCACCATGTCCTGCGGCAGGGCCATGTTTAGGGGGGTTTGGGGTGAGTCGATCTCGACAACCTCTCCATCGCTGGCATCGTCAGCAGAAGCACCCGAACAGTCACCATTGGTGGGCGGCTTCTCAGACAGCATAGACCCACCCCCATTCTGCAACACATCCATTGTGTCCATCAATCATCATGTCACTCCTTCGTTAACAAACGCTCTGGGGTGCAGGATGCTCTTTGATGTGATGTATCCAGCCATCACAAACTTCCACACACACTCAGGTTGTTGACCGCTAGGGGCATTTCAGAATATTCTGATGTGTGTGGGTTGACGACACAATTTGAAGAGCAGAGTTGGAAAAAGCCTTGGCAGATATCTTTTGTATGCTTCAGTCATTCTGACACGTTTCATGATGGTATCGACAACAATTTGTGCACGCAACAAATAAAATACATCACAAAACACAAATTTCATATCACTTGCACATTCTGATGGATAATTGGCTAGTACATTCTTGAATACTGCCACATATTGCGACTGTGGGCAGTTGATGGGTGTGGCGCTGGATGCTAAAAGAACACACCATGGTGATTAGCTGAGCAGATAAGCCAAACACATACTGTTCCCACTTGCGCTCTGGCCAGAGAAATTCTTGATCACCCCTTGAACCTCACAAACTATGCCCTCCTGTGCCCATGGCTGACCAGGCCACAGAGCGAGTATCCCATTTCCCGTGGCTGTTCCCTTTCATGCCTAACAGTGGTATTATTAACCATTGGTTTTTCAGCCAGTTTATACTTACTAGCCCCTTGCAAAGCTACTTCATCTGTCCTAAAAGGATTGGCAGTTATCAAAACGGCGAAATCAGTGTTAAATTCTGCTCAAACGTGCAAAATAGCATCAAAATCGGAAAGACGAGGTGCCAAATCTTTAGGAACCACTCTCATCTGCAATAGACACTGAATCTCAGGCTGTTTCATCTTTCCAATGATGGGTTGCATTGATCACCAAATTGTCCCTGACAGCAACCTCCTACACGACATCCACCACTGTTCTGCTCTTGCTGCTTGCCAACGTGGGGAACTTAAAGTTGTTGTTGTTGGGCTCGCTTGTCCGCTTGTAGCAGGGGCTGCAATTTGCGGTCAGGGGCCAATTCTGAGCTACCTTGGGACTTGCACCACATTTGGCCCTACAAGCCCGTGTTTGAGGGGTCACATCTCCCTCAATACTGTGAGTGCTGCCACATAAAGGGACTCAATCATCATAACACTAATGGAATGGATATGTGAGTGTACTTGTATCATGCTATTGGTGTGTGTGTAACCAATGCTGAATTGGGTGCGTGCTCTCTTGCCCTGCCGCCACCGTACCAAGCTGATTGATCTAAAACTTGGTGGGTCAAAATTGTCACAACGGTCAATATCTGATCAAAATCTGGGTGCTCTTAGAGGTGCTTGGATGGGTTTTCCAAGGCTGCAAATCACAGCCACCGGTCATTTGGGATAGTGGAAGCATGAAAAATATCAGAATGCTGAAGTGTCAATCATGCTTTGGTACACTGGCCACCCCAAGTGCAGGTGGTACCAGGATATCAAATGCTTACATCGGCCTGTCCATGGGCAGGTCTGCCATCCACGGCAATGTCGTTCCTCCTGTTGATGCTCAGTGTGTGAGGCACCCCTGCTGGGATCCCCTCGCTGTCCTTACTGGCCGGCGCACTCTCATGGAGCCCATCCACAGCATCTTCCGCCTTCACGCAATCCCCCTGTGGAGCCTGGCAGCCACAGCAGGTTCACTGCTGTGTTCGCAACAGTGCCACAAACACCCATCGACAACACAGACACCAAACCAGCGCCAAGTCCATTTGTGCACCTGCTGACACCTGCCCCCACCCCCATGTACATGTTTGCTTGCATTTCGTGAAGCCTATGTTGTGTGCTCATCATCTTGCAATGGCAGTCTCTGCATCATCATTCACGGCATGCGAAAGAACCTCATACACACTTGCCTACAAGGGGGTGCCCTCTGTATGACCTGTTTCTCTTTTGAACTGCAACAAATCTCACCTCCTGAGAGTCAGGTAGCTCATCATCCTCCTCGCTGTCCTCATCCTCCACATCCTCGAGGTCCGAGATTGGGAAAGAAGTCACCTGACTGGCCTTGACGAACTGGAAGGGCTGCCGCTGCTGGCCATGGTCCTTGGTGGAAGCCTGGATGGCCTTCCTCAAGATGTCCGGCAACTCCATGTTCTCAAAGTCAGTGAACCTGTTGCAAGGCAGCTAGGGGTTATGCGAATGTTGCCATCAGACCCAAATTTTGACCACAGACAGCTGCAAATGTCTGAGACTGCCATTGACTCCTGAACAAGTCGACAGGCATCTGGGCATGTCTATAACCGCCTGCAATCGTTCACTGAAGTCTTCGAATACGCACACACAAAGGTTTACAATTGTCCATGGATGTTCAGGGACGTCTGCGGACATATGTTTAACAGAGAACCGCAATCTCGCATAAGACAAACACTGTCCGGTATTTGCGCCAAAAGTCATCTCATTAACAACAGCAGGCCAGCCACACTGGCCCTTGAATGATACAACTTGTGGCGAGAGGCAATACAGCAGAGCCACCCCCCCTGAACTTCTCCAGTTTCAAGCAAGCAACCTCTTCACCTTGCAGCCAACACTCTCTGGAGCCTACAATGCCTTCAACACCTTGCAAGAAGTTAAAAGTATCAGGACAGGGGCTACACACTGATATATTAGTTGTAATACAATCTCTTCAAACAGAATGACATTTATGACAGCCAGACGCCTGTACAAAAGACAAGTGCCACTTTCACTCACTCTATGTCCTCGCTCTCTTGACGGCCCCCTGCAAGGGCAACCAACTCTGCTTGACTGCCTTCCTCCATCATGACTTCGTCCATTCTCAGGTAAGTGGACCTCAGCGCTGACTCAAAGTCTCCCTTCTGAAATGACTCATTCTTGAGAAGCTCCTCTACCTGGCAGGCAATTCCAAATTTTTCTATTTTCTTCATCTCTTTTCTATTTCGTATTTATATATTCTCTATTTAATTTTGCCGAATTTCAGAGTGTACAGAAGTGAGCAGACACTCATGAACAATGAGGACAGTGCAGGGATTGTGAGGGCCTTTCAGGCACAACAGCAGGGGTCAACACAATCTCTCAAAGTGATCAAATGCATTGTCTTGCACTGGCGAGTCAAACAGTGCTGTGAACAGCCATCGCATGCCGATGGTGGCAAACACCAACTCGAGGAAAATCAAGCAAGCAGGCTTGTGCTGTATGTGTTGCCCTCTGAGTTACTTTTCAGACACCATGGTTGTTACGATCGCATCATTGACAGGAACCAGATGCGGGACATAGAAACGTTCTTGAATCCATACACGCCAATCATCGCCTACAAGGTGCAAGGCCACCACTTGTCTTGTGAAAAGCAATTCAAAAGGAGAACAGCACAACGTCATCCACAGGGGTATAAATCGACGACAAACAGTGGCACAGCAGACATTTTGGGACGCTGCTGGCAATGGTGTGTGCGGCTTGGGCGGCTTGGGACAGTGCATTGCAAATACACAACATGCAATCAGTAAGCCTATAGGTTTCTGCATATCCGACTTGTCAAAATTGGCAGGCCATATTGCAAGCAAGCCCGAAGCAACCAGAGTTTTACAAAAAAGACAGTCTTGCCGATCAAACTCACGAGGTGCAGCGCAACGAATTTTGCGACCTCTTTGCCCCCATGGCCATCAAACACCCCAAACATGCACATAGATGGGTGACCTTGGATATCCAGTGCTGCAAGGTGGGCATCTTCCTGCAGAGCACAGCAAATGACCGCTCATGCACAATCTGGGCACAAGCAACTGGGATGTCAACCAGTATGTTGCTTGTGACTGAAAAGCAGCAGGAAAATGCTTGCTATCTGCAGGTCATATCTATTTTGCTCTTCTGTACCAGTCCATTGAACAAGGATGTGGAGGTCAACAACTGCTTTAGATAGGCCGCACAGTTGGCTGAGATGCCTACCAGAAAAACTGTCTGCAAGTCCACCGAACGTCACACAATGTCTTTTTACTGTGCAGTGCACCACCCATTTGGGCAAAGGACAGCAATCCCTCACGTCCAAAACCATCTTGGGGGCATTTCTGGTAACTGCATGACAACAAATTTGCTGCTGCTGTCAACTTGTTGTTTCGTTCATCAGATAATCTGGAGTCTCGACTCCAAATACAACTCTGCCTCCCCAACCCGTGCTGAAAAACCTCCAAGGTGTTCATTACATGGGATCTCATCTTAATCGGGGACAGAAACGTCGCCTTGCAACAAAAGATGCAAGGGAATGAAGATGTCCTTGCAGGCATTGTGAAACATGACACACCAGTACTGGCATGTGTCCTTGCGGAACTCAGATGATCAGCAGCACTTCCCCTGCTTTAACAAAACTGTTGAGGAAAGGGAAAATAGAGACTCCCACAGTGCCATAGAGGGTGTCAGAATGTTGCCCATGCTACGCACACCAGTCATACAAGGACTTCAGTGAGGACAGCAGTAGCATTCAAAGCAGCATGTGCTGGCAGCCACAGCAATTGAGAATTACCATTTCAGTCCTCCACCCCTGCATGGCAGCCACACTGTACATTGCATTGCCATTTTCCCCGCTTTCCACCTCCTGTCCAATGCACACCTTTGTCTTAAAGATCACATTCCTGCTACTGCACAAACAGGTTATTCAAGCGTGTGCTGAAAGGAGCCTCACTCTGAAACCATTCCCTCCATTCTTGGAAGGCCCTTCTAGCCACTGCTCTGGGCAGAGTCCAAGATGAGTGATGTGATCGACAACAAACCCCGTCATTTTACCAAAGGGTAAAAAAGCACCATGTCGTCATGTTTTGGCAAGGGCAAAAATTGTGGATCGTGGAGCTTCCATTCCTGATAGTCCATGGCAACTACATGATTCTCCCCGCAACAGCATCACGCCCACAAGGCAGGCTGAAGGTGCGCCTGCCATATCGTTTTGGCCAGTATACCCAGATCATGAGGTCCCCTGGGCACCTGTTTCTTTCGACTCCCACAGCTTCCTTGTTCTGTGCTGTTGCAGCTGCACTCAGGCAGGTCCTTGCCAACTCCACAGTGCGCAACACATTATACAAATCCTGAACGGGGGCACTCGCTGCATGGCACCCTGCTCTCTATGAGAGCGATGGCAGAGTCCACAACCGGCACCCTAGCCAAAAACAATGACTCGAATCACTGCTGCACCCAGGAGGAAAATGGCCAACCACCCCTCGTTCACCGGCTGGCGACAGCACCTCGAGAGGGCGCGACAATGTCCCGATATCTACTCAACCCACGCCAGGACGCTATACGAGCACGCCCGCAGTCCCGTCGGCAGCTGGACACCTCGCCATCGCCGGCGCAGGCCAATCCTCCACACACTTCCCTGAACCAACGACGCCCAGCGCCGGCGCGGACGGAGAACGCGCCACCGGCCTGGGCCATCCTCGCGCGGCGCGCCCGACGCGGACAGCCCGTCCGACACCCGCCGTGCCGCGCAGAAAGCACGGACTCGAAGCCCCGGCCGAATGCCCCTCGCCGCGGCCCAGCACCGCCTCGCGGCCGCGCCCGCGAACCAGACGCGCCCGACCCCAGGGAGAGCCACTGCCGGCCCCGCTGCCTGCCGCTCAACCGCCTTGAGACACGATCTCCTCGCCCCCCCCTCTCCCACCCCCATCCCCACCCCCCTTCCCTCTTCCCCCTTGCCTCCCACGTAAGACAGCCCGCCCGCCCTGGCCGTCCTTCCCCCCGCCTCCCTCCTGGATCCCCCCCGCAGGATCGATCCGTCGATCATCGCCCCAAAGCGCAACGGCACCAGACGCCGCCCGGCCCCCTCCCCCTTCCCCTCCCGCCCACCGCACCTTGTCCCTGATCGGCTCGCTGAGATACGCGCCCATGGCGACCGCGATCCGCTGCGTTCCCGCCTGTGCCGAAGATGCCCGCTGGCATCTACGCCTGCGGCGCTGCTCTGCCGGCTGCGGCCGGCGACCTGGCGACCGGGTGCCGCGGGCTGCGGCCAGACGAATTGGGAATGGGCACGGGAAGGCGGAGGATACGGACGCTGGGGGCGGGGGCGGCCAAGGGGGGGTCAAATGGAGGACGGGTGTGTGTGCGGAGGTGACGTCAACCGGGTGGGTGGACGCGGGGACGCCAGCAGAACAGGCGAGGGTGGTCCCGATTCGCGGATACTGGACCGCTGCCAAAGACCTGTACTGAGACGGCACCCGAACACCCAAAACCCTTCCCCCCAAAGAGAATTCCACAAAAGAGTGAAAAAGGGTAAAAGCCCTAACCTCAAACAACTTAAAAACTGACTCTAAATACTAACGGCCCTACGCTGCCTCAATGTAGAGGCAAATAGTCGGTATGTGAAAGAACAAACGATGGACGTGTTGTTCTCTGCAGAGTTGGGTGGTGGCATAGCCGATGATGGTTAACACGCAATTGATGGAAGTTTGTCAACGTCATCATCACCCCAGACACAACGGCCGTTCCCAAAACGCGTCTCCGTCTGTGTACCCCACTGCTACTAGTGCTAGAACCGATCCCGGTCCTGCTGCCAGTCTCGGCGCCGGTCTGGTGTCCGTGTAAAGGCAACATTGTGGAGAAGGCATGATTTGGCGTTGGTTTTCCTCACGAGGATGTGGTGCAAGACTTGGTCTTCATTTAAAACTTTTCAGTACACTCTGGCCCTTGGGATGAATGAGGCTGGCTTGGGGACAAAACCATGTTATTGGGGGACCTGGACAATCTTCATTCGTGGGTGGGCGGGGTGTTGTGTGGTGCGGTGGGGTGGGATAGGGTGGAGAGGTGGGTTTGATCAGCTGAATTAGAGCCGAAAAATCATGGATTCGGCCACAATAGCCCATCCAACATATGCAGCTAATTGTGTTGGAGTACTTGTTGCATGGAATCGAATCTGATCATTTTTCCGTCTCACCAGCGCCACCCAAATCGAGGCAACACAGGGCAGCCACAATGTAGTTGGTGGGCATTTGGTTCATGACCAATTTTCCCGGTATTGTCACCAATTCGATAGGCGATCTCGATGTGACCATGTTGTTAGTTGCGCAGAAGTGCTTGCGCCCATACAAGCCTTCGTCCTTGTTTTCCGTATGTTGTTGATAGTTTTCTGCACTTGCCTGTTGAATTTATCTTTATTTTTGCGATATTGCAAATTTGTGCCACCTGATAGGCTTCTGGCTAGCAGCCTTTCATAGCAATATCTATTCTAGCTGGCGCCCCATGTAGCAGCGTAGTGTTGGTGATTACCTTGTGGATGACAATTGCCAGCCGCCACTTAGGGCATCCATTTTGGGAGCCGGATATGGAATGCCTCCCTGACACCAGTAAAAAACAGGCCAGGTGACACAGTCCTGACACAGTATGCTCAAAATCCAACTATGTGCTTCTTGGCAAATGTGGTTCCAAAACCACATATTTAGTACACACATTGACACAGTTTCAACCATGTACCCTGGGAAACCATGTAGTCTACACGGTTTCTGAGGGTACATGGTCGAAACTGTGTTGAAACTGTGCAATTGTGTGTATTAAATGTGTGGCTTTGGGGCCACATTTGCCGAAAGCACACAACTGGATTTGAGCAGACTGTTTCCGGATTGTGTCATTCGGCCTTTTTTTTCCTGATGTGAGAGCAAGGCTTGCGCTGGTTCCTGATCCTCTGGCTCCAAGGGTGGGCATAAAGTAACAACTTCACCATTCAGGGCAAACGACAATTGCACATTGTTTGTGCAGATCAAATGTGAACTGACCTCATGGGCACTGTCCCTCAACTTGGTATTGAGCACAAGTGCTTGTCAGCAGTGTTAGGAAGGAATTGACGGCCAGGACTGGATCCTGTCAGTGGCCACTGACAGTGTGGCCATGGTCACATTCAATGCCATCAAATGGGCCATTTGACATAATTCCATTGCAATTTCAAAAGTCTCGAGCTGCTGCAACACGCCAGGTCAAATCCTGCAGTAATTACACTTAATACGTTGTTCATAATAATATTGTGATAATATGTGACAATTTCGCAGGATGCTCCTCCGAATTCCCGCTGCGATTCCCGAGCTTGGCACCCGGAGGGTCACGCCGCGTCCAGCCCAACATTCGCCACCATCAGTTCCGAAAGGCGGTCCCCTTCACCGGGTCCGACCGCGCATCGATACGCCTCCGGCACCTGGTCCCCCTGGCCCTCGTCTCCCGAGCACTTCGCCGCTTCCTCCTCGCAGCGCCCTTCCGACACCGCCTCCCCTCTCGACCCCACCGCCTCTTCAGGCGCGTCACTCTGGGCAGTGGCGCCTTCACATACTCCCTCGCACGATTTGCACCTGGCGCCCAACCTCGCAGACAGCCCTCCACAGTCCACAGGGCTGCTTGGTCGACACCCTGCCTGCGCGCCCCCTTCCAGGGCTTCTGCGTTCCCTCTTGATTCGCCTTCCGCTGCCCAATCCAGCCCACCACCTGCAGGCTCATGAGCCTCCTGAACGTGAGCCGCGGCGTCCAGCTCAGCAGCCAAGCTCTCCACGGCCTCAATTCCCAGCGCTGTGCCAGCGCATCCTTCAGGTGCGTCGACGTTATCGAGGCCGCCTGCGGGCGCGCGAGCCGTTTCCTGAGGCCCGTCCGTGTGGCCCTCCGGTGTGCTGGGGTCTCCGCCAGGCGCTGGTTGCTGGCAGCCGAGGTCAGGCAGGTCTGCTGCGGCGTCCGCGTGGAAGCCATCGGCAGGCGGCCGGCACTTGTCGGGAGACTTGGCCCACTGCAAGGCACGGGGGACATAAGCCACCAAGATACACCAGTTTGGGTGGGGGCGCCAACAACAATCGCAACCCAGTATTTTCTTCTGCTCATGTATAAAACCAACATTCCCAGTGCATTGGGAATTCGATATCAGACACGGGATTCTTTCCCGCCAGGCACATTGCAGCGCGCGGGATATGACCCTCGATGTCACCAACAGAAAACACCATTATTGTGATGCCAACTGCGATGCCATTTTTACATTAATGAGGCATAACAGTGATTGCGATGGCGCAACTGTAACTGTGGCGGCATCAACTGGTGTCAAATAGCATTGCAGCCGGCATCGCAAGTATAACTTTTTTCTACTGGTGCGTGTCTTCTGCGACAGCAATCTGCGAGGCGAAGAGACGCCGCTCGCCGACTCGTGTGGCGCAATGCCTTGGCGCTGTGCTGAGATTGTTGACGCTCACATTGCTGGCAGCCCTCTTGAACGCCTCGCGGTGGTCCAGGTCGGGGTTAGCATCCTTCAGCCTCTTGACCTCCTCGCTGGGCAGCACAGACGCCTTAAATGAGACTCAGTTTGGGGCTGCGCAGGTCTCATCTTTGCTTGCCTTGGATGCATCGGCTCTAACTGTCAGCTATTCTAGTCCTCACCACAGTCAACACCACGAGTTGTGCAGAAAACGGTATATGAAGATCAGACAAGAATATTGGACAATGCGTGGGCGACAGAATTGCTCAAGTGCTAAGCCTGTACTATGTTGTTCTGCAAAGGTGCTGATAGGTAAGTTTTGCCATTCAGCTTAACAGTCACCACGCCGGCCATCGACTCACCGCATGAACATATTGTATGGCGACGGAGTGCGTTTGCGCTTTTCTGCAGGGAAACAAAGTACACTGTCAGGAACTGCAAACAATCCACAGCGCGACTGAGGTCTCGCAATACCATGTTAGCAGTTGGCAGGCCAAGAGTGCAAGCCATTGATGGGGGCTGCTGTGGGTATACCCACGTGTTACCAGTATGTGGAACAGCGGCCCCGCTCTCTGTGCCCCAATGCCTTATGCACACATACGCGCACCAAGACGTGGGTCTTCCAAAATATGCACCGATTCAATTGTTGCATGACACAGAGCCTCCCAAGATGCTGTTCGCAATTCGGATGCCGCTGAAGTCGCACGAAGCGGCAACTGCCAAGTGCTGAAAGCCGCATCCCCTTTATCATCAAGGGCGATAATATCAGGCATTCGCCATCCAAGATTTGGCAGCAAGGATGACACAGAAATCACCCGACAGCCCAAGCCACTAACCTTTACGCCACTGGTTAACCGTTGGGTCAAACACATGTGCCAAAGTTGAGGTCTAAAGACAATCAATGTTGATTGAGGCAAAACTGGCACCAGCAGTGTGCTTCCGAGCTCACAACGAAGGAACTGTTGTCAAGTACGAGCAGGCGCACTTTTCTTCTGTCTGCCGCCTTCTCCCAGAGGAACCCCGCCGATGCATGGAAACATGTGTCCACTGGACACCCGCGCGTTGGGCTTGGTAAAGGAAGGCGTCAGCCCGGCCAATCCCGCACGCCCCGCCAGCCCCCCGCCTCCTTCTGCCATGTACTTAGGGCGTGCATGGGAGGCTGCCTCCCCTGCGAGCCCATGTGCAGCTGCAGATGGCCGTCCATTGCGTCCGGTCCATGGAAGCCTCGGGAAGCAATCCAATGGCTGGGGTGGCGGTTACGGGGGCGGTCCTGCCAGTAGGATTCGCTGGGGGCTGAGAAGTCGTGAACCGCTGGGATGGGATACTGCAATGAGCACAAGAGCAGCGTCGTGGCCTTAACCCTGCTGATTTGCGGATGGAGTACTGGAAACTGCCATCTGCATGAAAGAAACTGAGGTAGTACAAAAGGGTGGCAGACATGCCCGCATATATTACAGGCTGGGCTTGAACAACATACATCCAGCCGCATCAGTTTTTGGAAGCAGCATGAATGCATTGAACTGAGACAGTCAAGCAGAAGCGTGGGTGAGAATTGCTGCTAAATAAATTGCGGCTCCCTTGCAGCTGATGGACGTTCCTGAAATACTTTAAATACAAGACGTGAATGCATACCAAATCTAAAATTCGTGGCGGTCAAGTGCGCAAAATGTCCAGAAGGTGTCCCAGTCTAGGTGCTCAACATGAACTTTTCTTCTGAAGAATTGCTTACAAGCAACCAACCAGGACGTTTTTGGGGGGATATGAGGATCCAAGAGCAACAGCTACTGAAGTCACAATATTCGGATTTTTCATTAATGGTGAATCCGCTTGCACGCATCAAATAGTAAGCAGTCAGGCACCAGTGAGGGACTCCCGAAGCTGAAGAACGAGCATTGAATCCTTTCCGGTCAGTCGTCCCTGTTCTGTGGCTTCCAGCCTTTCCCCTGTGGCGAGGTTCCCTTCAGACACAAACCTGTCATTTATGGTCCTGTCCCTCCTTTTGCTGTTGTGTCCGAGCCGTCTGCCGCTAGTGGCCAATCAAAGTGGATCGAAACTTGCAGGCACTGCGCCTCACCTGCTGGGCAGCCATCCTGGTAGGGTTGCTACTATGGAAGGGGACTCGTGACAGTGGTGGCGGGGTGCTGAGTTGCCGCGCCAGTACTTGATCCCCTGAGCTGCCGTGCTGCACACACATCGCCACAGCTCAGCCATTTTTTATTGCCTTGATTGGGGGAAGATGTATCAACAGGAAGATGATGAAGGGCCTCGGCCAGTTGGGTGAATTTCGAAAAATTAAATGTGTCGCTCTGAATCTTGTTGGTGCCCCACACTACAAACGGAGATTCAGTTGGATTGTCATCATGTGTGCAGCGCGAAGCAGTGTCCGTGCACCTGCAGGCGTGATGACCTGCAAAATTGACGAAGCCGTCATGACATGATACTTGCTGAATTATTGCGCCCATGAGACGAACAATCTCTTCCGCTGTTAATGCCTCAAATTCTAGGCTGGGTTACTTCGCTTTTGAGAAAAACGAATATCAGTGAGCCAAAAGCTGATGCCGATCTTACTCCAATTGACGCAGTTGCCATATTGCCTTCCAACCCAGCCTCACAGTTCAGCTGAGTTATCAAAATGGAACCGTCAGTTAATGGGCGTTGAGCATCAGTATCTCCACCATCAAGTGCACATCTTGCCTTGAGCCACGCTGCCTGCGAAAATTTGCGCAGTCCATCGGCTGGGCATCTGCACCATGCGCCACCTCCGTTCCGCGAGCGCTGTCACTGCACTCATGCCTACTGCAGGCTCCAGTGGCGCACGGCAATGGAATGGCCCACCATACACGCAGGTGATTTGCCATAGATTCAAATTATGCTCACAAGCGAGCACCAGATTTAGCATGCCGTCCGTGACGTCCCACAAACTTACTGCATAGGTAAACGAATGTGGGGCTGCAGGCGGTGGCTGTGGGCTGGATGGGTCCACGTGAGGGGCTCCATATTGACCGATGTTCTCTTCAGGTTCTGGACGCTGCTCATGAAGCTCCACCTGAAGCAGCCTGCAGAGTGAAGCTGCAGTCATGGTTGCACAACGTATATGATTTTCTGAACAAAGCATAGTCCCACCACAATTCGTCTATGCGGAATAGAAGCGCTCAGAGCGTTGCAGCAGTCCAAATTAGTGAATCCATATTCCTTTTGCCGCAGTCAACACCGGTCCAGGAGAAGTGCATACTTCTGCTATTCCATGTAGCATATAGCATACACATATATGTAATTGTTTGTGCACGCTGATGGCACAAGTGGCATGTGATCTTGGCACGTGCATTGTTGCAGTGGGATTGTCGCACTTTGTTCATCGCCCACGTTGCATGTGCCGTGTAACAAACGACTTCCATATGCTCAGCCTTGCCATATGTGTCTAAGCATGAGAGAAAATGCGTGTCTCGCAACAGCTCACATCGGTGCCAAACACACGTCAACATACTGTGCTTACTTCCTGCAGTTCCCGCATCTGACGACCAGCGAATTGTGGGACGCCTGTTCGTGGGGCACATTCACCTGGAAGAGCATCGAGCTGCCTCAAAACACCACTCTCAAGTGATCATTATAGGCGAAGACAGCAGTGCGACATAAAATTCAACAGCTTTAAACTACGATAGAATAATATTAGCGCCAGTATCATCGTGCAGGATATTGCAGGACTGATATGAAGCTGCGTGGATACATGCCACCTTGCCATGTGTCCTTATGGCCATACTCAACTTCATGAAATTCATCTTCGTACGTGATCGTGCAAGGGCGGCTGCATGAGAGGTTGTTTCTCCATTGGCTGCTATCCTGGCGACGAACTCACCAGTGTGATGGGAACTCAACATGGCGATAGCATGGAACTACAAATATGCGGACAAGAAGATCATGATCAGGGCTCCACCACGCGTTGCAGCTCGCCAAAAGTGGGCACACTGTTGAGAGTGCATTGCACTCATGGCTCACGAGCAAGGCGATCAGGCGGGTGAACGATTAGGGACTAGGTTGCTTGTTTCAGTATATCAACATTTCATACAAGATTCTCAAGAAGAAATTTATGCACGACATTACTTAATTCACCTATTTCCCAGTACAACAGGTTGGACTTGTGGAATGGTGCACGAGGGCCAGCTGCCCAAGTCTGATGCACGCATTCACATGGCTCTCTTGCCATTGTCTACTATGTGCCATTGCTAACGAACAATCCTTGTGTCAGGACTTGTGGTAGTACTTACGATTTTGCTCAAAGGCACCAACCCGCTTCTACATAAAGGGTGTTGATGTTGGACAGATAACATCACCATGCATATCAAAATCGGAGAACTGCACCCAGTTTCGAGCAGGTTGTGACAGGCTTGTCATTTACGTTTACGTTTTTACACGGAAGACGTAAATTGGCAAAAGGGGCTATTTTTACGGCTGTATTCACGTTTTTACGACTCCATGTGACACAGAGGTAACACGATAAAGTCGTGCACGAGCACCCACAACACAGGTCGACTTTGCACTCGGTAAGGGCCACGACGGCGTGAAACAAAAGTTCGTTTTCTGCCCATTACAGCGCGTCTGGCTGCTACTCCCAGGACTCCCGACGGCTGTATGTACTGTCCTTATGTACAAGGGGATGTATTTACGTTGTATTTACGTATTTTCACGCGGTTTTACGCGTACCAACGTAAAAATTATTTTTACGCATAAAAATGTAAGTACAGCACAATCTGTTTTACGGCATAAATAACAACCCTGGCTTGTGAGATTTACTCCATTCTGATTCCAACACATTTACCACGTTCACTGCTCTTGCTGCTTGCACACGTGTGCTCGCATGTTCAAAAGAGCTCTCTTCCAACACGCATACTTAAACAGTTTGTTCTCGCCCAGCGTGCTCTCTTCGCTCACGAACAGCACACAGCGGTCGCCTCGTTCTGAAATGAATTGTTGCCAGTGGGCTGCTCCCATGCTCATTTGCCGGTGTGTGCAAGCGGACAGCGCAGTCCATTGCAGTTCTGCTAGCATAAGTAGAGCGCAACGTACCTTTCCCACCCAGCGTGCATTGGGCAACGAAATTGCCTTGACACCGATCAACTGCCCCACAGGAAAACAGCCCGTTTGCGACACCAATTGCGGAGCCATCTAACACAAATTGATGCCATCACAGCCAAATTTAGGCCATCGCAATCACTGTGACGGCATCATTTTGTGTCAAAATGGCACCGCAGTTGGTGTCGCAAACATGGCATTTCCTGCCAGTGCTGGTGGCCATCATCATACATGTCGACTCGGCGGAATGATCTGCCTAGTCGACGTACATGCCGATGGACACCAGCGGGCAGTCACAACGCAATAGCCGACTCTGTATCACCCGCCTTTGTCGCTGTAAATCTCCCCACACCGCAAACTCCTGGCTGCAAGTGTCCACAGTAGTACTGTGGACACTTGCAGTCAAGTGTCCATTATGGACCCTTCCGCAGAGCTTGCAGGGCGTTGAGCAGGTTTTGTTTTCGCGTTTGAACAACCGTAAGTGCAAATTAACTTCACGATTTCAGCCAAAGAAATGCCCAACTCAGCTCTAGATCCTCACAGACACTCATGGATCCTCCACGCGAGGACCCGTGCTAAAGATCTACAGATCAAGCTGGCTATCTAACAAGATGGCGGTCAAGGTAACGCCGCAGCGCCGACAAAATCGCAATGCCGCAAAGCGCCGCGATCTCGGCTCCCATCACTAGCGGGCTAGCCCGGCATCCGCTGCAGGCTGCGGGGACGGCAACTTCCCCTGATCGCCCGTTCGAGACGCCGCACACGCGGCCGCTTCTCGCCCACAGCGGTCATTCCGGCGGTCGCCACAGGGGCCAAAAGCCGGCGCTGCGCGTAAAAAGCACATGGTATAAAACACACCGATTTTTAACTGCTTGCGCCGCACGGGCACAAGCGCGCCCACACGTGGCAACTCGTGTCCGTCCGCCCAAGGCGCTCTCGCACGGCTGGGCGACACTTGGCTGGTCGCCATTGCGAGCGCTCTGCAACACGTAATTCGCGCTCCGACGAGATGGTGCACCGATGTGGCGCGTCCAATTCTCGGGCTGCGCTGCACCCCCCACGGCGAGCCTCGTGCCGAGGAACGCGCCCGAACACGTCTACAACGTTTACACGTAATTCCGTCGCCGCGAGCCCTCGAGTTTGCGGCGCCGACGAGATTGTGTCCCGTCGGCCCGCGTCGCAATTCTCTGGGTCGCGCGGCCCACGCCACGGCACGCCTCATCCCAGCAAGCCGTAGATCCACACTTTGGGGCCCGGCCAAAGTCGGCTGGAATAACGTCACAGCCCTCGGGCAGATTCTCCGCTGGCCACCGCAGGCCATCCGTGGACTGTGTTCGCCCGTCCGTTGCCCGCGTGGGCAGTGGGCGGGCGAGCACAGGCGTCACAGATGCGATTGCCGGTGGCGCGCCCGCGCCAGGCCCCATGCATGCATGGGAGCTTCGATTCGCCCCCCCCCCCCCGCCTGCCCAATTCCCCACCACTCCCCGGGGAGTGGAAAGGGCCCCCTTTCCAAGCTTCCCTGCGCCCGACGCCGACCAAACGCTGCCACCGACGCCCACGACCTGCACACAGCTCGCGTCTGGCTCCGCGTGACGAACGCCTGGCCGCCGCCCCGAGGCCCTCCATGGCCCCATGACCGCGATCAAGCCCCGGCGTCAACATGAATGCTGTTTGGGTCAATTTCAGCCCCCATGAGGCCGAACATGGCGAAAGCCAATTGGCCAGCAAGCTGGCGCCGCACCTCCAGGAGGGCCCCGCACTCCGTGGATGTGCACTCAACCCTCACTGTCGAGGGGCGCCCAGCGTGCTGACCCACGCGCGCATAGGCCTGAAAAGCGCCGCGGCTCATGGCCATGTGGCGGGGGGTCAGTCAGCGTCGGACGGGCTGCTCCCCGGGCGGCGGATGGCCCCCTTCGGATCGATCAGGTCGAACGGCGCCACGTGCGGTCACGGGCGGCGATGCGGCCTGCCGGGTGGCCCGCCGCTCGAGAGGGCAGTGTCAGAGGGGATCGATGGCGGGGGCGTCGATTTGGCCGCGAGGCGGGCGCCATCAAAGGGGCCCGTGATGGAGATGGGACGTCGAGGAGGTGCCGGGCACGTGATCTGGACGGGGATGCGCGCATGGAGGCCCGACTTTGCGTTTTTGCGGTTTGTTCAAATCGATTTTGGGTTTGTTCACACTGAAACGTTTCACACTCCATCTTCCGTTCGCCCATCATTTCGGGCTGCTTGTGCTTCTTTCAACAGGTTTCAATGAATCGGTAATTCGTTGCATATAAAAATGGGGGAATATTCTCCATGAATGGGAATATTGGCTTAAGAGCATCCGTGTACGTTATGTTTACATAAGCGCATAATCACACGCTGTCGTGATTTCCACAAACACGCATGACGACTCGTGACCATGCTCGGCAAGGGCCGCATTGCGAGCCGCAGAGGGTTGTTCTGATTCAACCAGAACCAACTTGGCCGCCACTTGGCATGCCGCCCAAGGGCAAGTTGGGCAGCTTCCAAACACTTTGGGGGCATCAACTGCGACATGGACCACCGACTGCTACTGCAGCCTTCCCACCAGTCCGGAGAGCGGCGGCTGGACTAGTCAGAGTGGATAGAGGACGACCGTTCTATGTTGTCGTTGTGTTTGGCGAGGACGCAGCGGATGCGGCTGGGGAAGCTCTCGAAGAGGAGGCAAGCCAAAAACTTGTCAATGGCAACGTGCAGCATGGCTACTCTGCCCAAATCCGAGTTTGCATGTACTGCTCGGGTTGATGGAAGACTGTACAATGTCCGCGCAGATGTAGAAATAAAATCGCCCTGCTTCTTAAAGAAGCAAAGTTGTACACAAAGTTTGTGTACAAGTCAAATTTGAACAAATTGAGGGTGATCGATGTTGAGCTGCAAAATTGCCGATCCAGCTGGTTATCTGTTGGGCACAGTTAGGCAGCACAAAACGCAGACTTGGATGCATTAGCCGGAGGCAAGTCACAAATTATTTCAGCGTTTGGAAATGCTCCAGACCCTGACGATTTATACAGCAGACATCATCCCCACATGGAATCTGCAATGCAAGCACTGGAAACGGATGAACATAAAGCGTTGAAGCCGCACAATGTGTTCATTGCTTGAGACTCGAGTTTATAGCCCGTCGCAGATCCGCTCATCGTCTAATGGACTGAACCACATGACAAGCATACATTGGGCAGCTCCCATCGATTAGAAGGACAAAAATGCGATGGCCAGCGCCGAGAGTGTCTGTTGAAATGCTCTGGATGACGGCGTTGTCGAAACGAATGCCGGGAAAGCAGATCAGTATGCGAGACGGGCAGACTCAAAGGGCGCTTTCCTTCTGCAACCGCTCGCGCCGCGAACAAACGCCCACCAAATAGTTACAACCCCAACTGATAACTGATTGTCGGTTGGCGGTTAAAGGCGGCAGACGACCCATAAAAGGCGGCGCTGCGACGCATAAACCCGAGTCGCAGCCGAGGCAAGCACCCCCCCTTCCCCTACGAATTGGGAGTTGCAACAAACATCACAGGAGGGCCGGGAACTCCAACAGCGGCATCCTTCGTGCGCACTTGAGCCAAGCCTTTGATTTCTGCACCAGAGGCGGCTGCTGGGAACGCCCGCTCCTCGGCAGTCCCTGTTGGTTGTCCAGGACAGTGGAAACGCTGGTGGAAACGACGAGGGGCGACGAGGCAGCTTGCGGCGGACGTCGAAGTCAACGTCCGCCGCGCTTCGCAGCGCCCCGGGCGGCGTCCGCCAGGTGAGTGAATTGGGTACCACGGTGCAGTCGCGAGTCTTCTGGGTTCGTCGCGTGCAGTCGCGAGTCGTCTCAAATTCTTCGCTTGTCGTCTCGAGTCGTCGCGCGCAGTCGCGAGTGCCCGGCAACCGTAGCTTTTTTGTCGAATCTTCGCGGTTGGGTGGGCTTCTGGAGTCGAGGCGTTACGCACACGTGCTCGATAGACACCGCCCAGTCAGCGTTTGGGGAGAAGCTGAATTTTTGGCAACACGGGGAGAACGCGCATTTGACGAGAGCGTCGCGTTTCGCCGGCAGTCTGTCGGGCGTCGCCGCCGCGGGAACCGCCATGTGTGCAGAGGATAGTAAAAGGGCGACTGCCGTTGACTCTGCCACAAACATTTGGCTTTGGGTCATGCACAGCGCTCATGAGGTAAATTCCGTTCAAGCGGCGGTGGTTGGATTGCTCGACTGACAACCCTGCTTTGGGAGCAGTGGCGCAAGGCTCAGTACTTTGCAACATTTGCTTGCACCATTTTTCCCCGCAAGGTGTCTTGGCACGTCTTGCGCATTCCGCCAGACCGCTTTTGTGGTGCGCAACGCTGAAGTGGGGCGTTTGTCGCGCAGTCGACGTGGTCAGCGCGAAATGGCGCCGGTCTTCTCCACGCACAAAACTGCCAGTCTCCACATTCGAAGCATCCCGCGGATTGCAAGAAGCAACAAATTTTTCAAATCTTGTGATGAGTTGTGCTCATAATGTGGAATCTGCAGTCGCCCAATTGCATCATTGAGTAAAGTAAGTTCCGTCAATTCACATTAACGTTGTCGCTGGTTCAAAGTAAAACAGATTGCCTTGTGATTTAAGATATTGCATTGCTCATCTGGAGAAGTGCGTCATCATTTGAACAGTACGCCAACGAAGCTTCTACGTCTCCATTTCAATGACTTACCAAAGCCATTGCATTGATGTGGTGCAGCACGCGCAGTTATCCATGAATTGATAACACGGTAACAGGTGAAAATGAATGGAACTCCCACTCACAACCCGCTGCGATATTTCTCAATCATTAGTGTAATGTTGCAGCTCAGAAAGGGCCGCTGAAGATCCTCTCAGAAACCGCGATGGGGTACTCCCGGAGCTTGGCCCTCCTGGCCATATATGCGCTTGTGTTTGTGGCCTCTTCGCGCGCCTCAGAAGTCACACATGAAGCGGCAGCTCGAGAATTGCAGTCCAGCTCGGCTGAGGCTGACATCGATGCCTCACAAGTCACACATGGAGTGGCAACTCGAGAATTGCAATCCAGCTCTGCCGATGTTGACATTAACGGAGTTTCGGGAGCTCTGGAAGTCTCCGAGCAAAGGAGTGATGCGGATGCGAGGTCCCTTGCGTCGGTGAGGCTCCTCGAAAGCGATGAAGGGTGGAGGTCCACGAAGGTCAGGCGAAAGAAGAAGAGGATCGTGTACGTGCCGGTTCCGGGTCCGCCTGGGCCCCCGGGACATCCGGGAGACGATGGAAAGCAAGGTGAGCGTCCACGATGGTGACCAACAGCTCTCCTGCTCAACTCAAATCGTTCGGGGAAAATGTTCGACGATCGCCCGGCTGACGACCACCATATTAATCAAAGATCCAACAGCGCTGGCACCAACGCTGGAGCCATGAGCACTGGCGCCAGTGCTCCCATGCCTGATCAGCCATATTATATATCCGTGCCGCTTCTGGCAGGGGACAGCATAGCGTTACTAAACTTGCACTGTTGCATTCCTAAAGGCGAGATCCTGAAGTTTTCATTCTTGCGGGATTTCTGCAATCGCTCACGCCTCTTGCAAAATGGCGTAAACATTGTTCCAGAATATCGTCATGCGAAATCCCGCTTCCAGGCGGACAATTCGCGTAAACAGCCCATTTTTGTCTATAACACTCCTTTTCCTTTCCATTTTCAAGTTTAGTTGTACTTCAACTTAGTCATAACCTCGTCATAACTTTGTTACAGTTAAACTTGAACTCAGTCATAACTGCTCATGGAGCTTGTCATTCAGGTCATTCCGGGAAACACTCGTATACCCCAGGGCCACCCGGACCACCTGGAGGCCCCGGTCCCGAGGGTCCCGAGGGCCCTCCTGGAAGCTACGGCTGGAAAGGTACAGTAGGAAAACAGGGGCCACCTGGTCCCGCGGGTCCAACTGGACAACCCGGGCCTCAAGGACCACCTGGAGCTGACGGCCAGCCCGGGCCTGCGGGAAAAGAAGGCCACAAGGGAGTTCCTGGAGCGAAGGGTGAGGGGCTTAACGGATGGCCCGGCGGGAATTGTGCAGTTGAATGTCCAATATTAACAAGTAGTCGACTAATCGGGCAGCAGCGTTGCCCAAATCTGTTGCCGCTGACTTCTGCAGCTCGCGATTGCGCCTGCTTCATGATTGGCAAGGCTGCAATCGAAATGGCTCGCCGCGAGCAGAGCCCCAATCGCCACGCGCCAACAGTCGTCTGAGCTGGCGAACAATAAGCGCACCGCAAAGGCTGCCAACGTTCACGCACCATTCGAAAATTCGAAATCCCAAACCCTTACAAGATATGAACAGAAACATTTCTTGTAGATGCATGCGCATTGTGCGGCTCGCAGAACGGGTGGGACTCTCATGAGCGATGCCTGAAACAAATGCATTGCTTTTCAAATCGTGTGAAGGGATCCCAGGTGAGCCTGGGCCCGAAGGTGTCCGTGGGCCCAAGGGTCCCGATGGGGATCCTGGCGCGGATGGCGACATGGGACATCCGGGCGAGGGCGGCGAGCCCGGATATCCGGGAGGGGAGGGGCCGCCAGGAGATCCAGGCAGCCCCGGCAGGCAAGGGGACAAGGGACCCGATGGCCACGTCGGCCTAATGGGCGGCATGGGACCTCCAGGAGACCCAGGACCCAAAGGATACCCAGGTGTGAATGGAAGCAATAGCACTTTTGGGTAAACGGATGTTACAGTGGTTTGGAAAGGGCGGCACGAGACTTAGTATTTTATATTGCAGTGCTGCACCACATTTTTTTAAAAGGGTGTCAGTCGCTCACATTTTATTGAACGGACAACCACTGTCAGCTCACTTCATTATTCGTCGCTGATTCCGGTGGGAT